TCCTCTTGGAATCATCTCCTAGAACCCTGATTTGCTCTAGAGCTATTTTGAGGTCTCTTGCCATTGTTTGTTGTTGCCTGTTGGCTTGATGCAGCTGATCTTCCAGCTCACTGATTCTGTCTTCATCTGTGGCCATTCTACTGTTGAGGGCACAGACTGAGTTTTTTTTATTTCATCTATGTAATCTTTTATTTGTGACATTTCTGTGCATAGCTTTCCAATTTCTGCTCTCATTTCTTCCCGTAATTTCTCGATTGTTTCTCTCATGTCCTCCTTTAATTTCTCTCATATCCTCCTCATATATCTGTCTCACTGTTTCATTGAGTTCATTGAACATCTTCAGTACTTCATATCTGCATTCTTTCTCAGAGAGGTCCCTTAGGTGAGTAGCATCTACTGAGGCTTCTGGACTCTTTTCATCATCCTCCCCAAATGGTGGGGATATGCGTTGTTTCTTCATGTTGTGGAGGTATGGGGACTGAGATGTTACACGAGAACATGTTCGGGCCTTACTCCAGGCTCTGTGCTCAGGAATCACTCCTAGCCGTTCTCTGGGGACTCCCCCTATATGATGATGGGAATCAATCCAGGTGGGCCACATGTAAGGCAATTGCCCTACCTGCTGAACTATCTCTCTGACCCCTATTATTATTATTATTATTTAAAATTGGCTAGTAACTGGCAGGAAGTTTTAATTTTTCTTATGATGCTCAGTCTCTAATTTTTCATTACTTCTAAGTGGCCCAGCACTTTTGCTCCCAAATCACTGATGTTCTTCTCTGTGCCTTGTGTGTGGGCCTTTTCTACCTCACTTTTGCTTGTTGTTCTTCTCAGATGCTGTGTCTACCCGGGGGAGAACAAACCCTGCAGGTCTGAGGAAACTCACTGCTGTGAACTTCCCTCCATTTCTGCAGACTTTCCATCACTTCTCTATTCTTTTTTTCCTTCTCTTCCTTCCTCTGTCTCTAAGTTTTTCTTTTCTCCTCAAAAATATTTGTTGTTCTTTTTCTTATTTCTGCCTTACATCCCCTTTGGGAGCAATGAGACTTTGGAGCCTAAGAATTAGTGCATTTTAAAATCAGTGAGTGGCTTGCAACACTAATCATGATAGCCAGAATCTGGAAACAACCCAAGTGCCTGAGAACAGATGACTGGATGAAGAAGCTATGGTACATCTACACAATAGAATAATATGCAGCTGTTAGGAAGAATGAAAGTCATGAAATTAGCTTATAAATGGATGAACATGGAGAGTATCATGCTGAGTGAAATGAGTCATAAGGAGAAGGACAGATATTGAATGACTGCACTCATTAATGGGATATGAAAAATAGTATGAGATCAATATCCAAGGCCATGTAAAACAGGGATCAGGAGGACTTGCCAATGGTCGGAAGCTTGCCACAAACATGTGTGGAACAAAGGGCAGTTAGGATAGAGAAAAGACCATTATGACATTGCTGTACTGTTCACAATAGTCAAAATCTGGAAAAAACTCGAGTGCCCGAGAACAGATGAATGGTTAAAGAAACTTTGGTACATTTACACAGTGGAATACTATGCAGCAGTTAGAAAGGATGAAGTCATAAAATTTGCAAACAAGTGGTCTACATGGAAAGTATCATGCTAAGTGAAATGAGTCAGAAAGAGAGGGACAGACATAGAAAGACTGCACTCATCTGGGGAATATAAAGTAATAGAATGAGAGATGAACACTCAAGAATAGTTGAGATAAGTACCAGGAAGTCTGCTACATGGCTTGGAAGCTGGCAGCACATGCTGGGCGAAAACACAGCACAGATAGAGAAGGGAACACCAAGTAAAGGGTGTTTGGGACTTCTCGGGATGTGAGATGCGCGCTAAAAGTAGACTATAGACCGAACACAATGGTCACTCAATACCTCTGTTGCAAACCACAACACCCTAAAGTAAATAGGGAGCCAAAGAGAATGCCCTGCCATAGAGGTGGGGTGGGGTGGGGGAATGGGGGTGGGTGGGAGGGCTACTGTGTTCATTGGTGGTAGAGAATGGACACTGGTGGAGGGATGGGTACTTGATCATTGTATAACTGACACCCAAACACAAAAATATGTAAGTCTACAACTGTACCTCTTGGTGTTTCACTAATAAAAAAAATTAAAAAGAAAGACTAGTATGACAATAATAGTTAGAAATGATCACTCTGGACAGGAACTGAATATTGAAAGTAGGTAAAGGGATATACATGATAACCTTAAGGGAGAGAAAGAGGGAGAGAGAGCGAGAGAGTGAGAGAGAGAGAGAGAGAGAGAAAGAGAGAGAGAGAGAATGCTTGCCATAGAGGCAGGTGGGTTTGGGGGGAAGGAAACTGGGTACATTTATGGTGGAAAATGTACACTGGTGATGGGATGGGTGTTGGAACATTATATAACTGAAACCAAATCATGAACAACGTTGTAACTGTGTTTCTTATTGTGATTTCAATAATTTTAAAAAAATTAACAAATAAATAAAATCAATGGTGATCCCTTTTACCAGCAGCCCTCACTGAGGTTTTGTTCTATATCAGACATCACGCTGAAACTTCAAGATAACAAAGGAGGCCCACAGAAGTTAAGATACTTGAGTCCTGAAGCTAATAAATGGTAAATGGGGGTTATAGGACTCTGAAATTAATTTTCAGGGAGAGTGAGAAAAAAATCCTGCAAGTCCTACAAGAAAGAGTTAAGCTTTTTTGTCTCTTTGGTATTTAAAACACATTGATCTGAATCTGAACTTTCTAAATTCAAGGGAATCTTAGCCTGTAACACTCTATTTCTTTTTTTTTTCTTTTTGGGTCACACCCGGCGATGCACAAGGGTTACTCCTGGCTCTGCACTCAGGAATTACTTCTGGCAGTGCTCGGGGGACTATATGAGATGCTGGGAATTGAACCCGGGTTGACCGCGTGCAAGGCAAACACCCTACCCACTGTACTATCGCTCCAGCCCCAGTAGCACCCCATTTCTATAAGTGAATTTGACCATCTCTTTCTGGGAACCATGGACTCTTGATGGACCAGACTCGTCAGTATAAATGAAAGTTGGTTGAGACCTGATCTTTGATCTGTTATCCCCAATCTATTAGTTTGTTCCGCACAACGGATAGGGTGTTTGCCTTGCATGCAGCTGGCCCAGGTTTGATTCCTCTATCTCTCTCAAACAGGTATCAGCAGGCAAGACAGAGAGGTTGGAAATGCTCTTCACCCAGCTTCCGGGGTGGTTTTCCTTCTATCTATAGTACAAAACCAAAACCCTCAATGGGATACTGGTACATTGTGAGTCTATACTTTTACAATATTTTATCTCATTTCTAGATGTATCTCTGCAGTAAAGAAACAAAATTGCTACATTCTCCATAATATTTCCCTGTATTATTCCTTCACAATCTCTCCAGCCTCCTTTCCTCCTCCATCAGCACCTTGCTTTGGATTCATAGCCCAGTTAGAGGATCCCTGACTATTGAACTTGCCCACTACAAATGGGTGAGTAAGTTCACATCATTTGAAGAGATAATGTTGAGTTTTCCTGCTATCTCAAAAAGTAATAACTTGAAAGTAATCTCTTGAAAGTAATAACTATTTTTAGTAGGTGCAATGTCATTGTCTCCTTTCCTGGTTTTTCCATGACTCTTCTTTCCCACCTTCTCTAGTACTAACAAGGAAAAGGTAAAAGACTAGGAAATTTATAGATGTTTGAAGTTATTGAGAGAAGGACAGAGTCTTAGTTACTTCTCAGATTGTAGGCTAAGCAAGGTGTTCAGTGAATGTTTGTTGGATGAATGAGTGGATGAGAGGGAAGGGATGTGGCACCCACACAAATGTAGGGGAGAAGCAAAATTGATTTTGTATGTTCCTTTCTCCAGAAATCACATAACCTTTGGTACATGGGATCCAGGCTAATTTTGTCTTTGTCTCTTTGCTCAAGGTCTTTTCTATTTCATTTCTGTTTACATATGTTCCTGGTTAGTCAGATGGAGGAGGAGATCTCACAAAGCTGACAAGTTTGACTCTCTGTTCTGTACAACACCATTAGCATTGGAAGTGTAGGGTTCAAGATAGGAGATACACAGGTATCTCCTTTGGCCCATACTTACCAACTGCATGTCTTGAGCTATTATTTTTCTTAGCCTCTATTATTTATTAATTGGATATAAAATATTTCTTGATTGCACTTAATTTTAATTGAACACTCATTTGGGCACTCAGGTTTCCCCCCTCCTGGACTCTGAGCTGCCATCGGTTTCAGTCACTTAAAATCCTGAGCTAGATAAGCACATTGGAAAATAAATGAAGAAATATGAATCATTTTCTAATATCATAAATGTTTGAATTTTTTTGTTTGATTTTTGTTCACACTTGGCAATACTTAGGAGTTTATCCGGGCTCTGCAGTCAGGAATTACTCCTGATGGTGCTCAGGGGATTACATGCGATGCTGGGGATTACACTCAGGTTGACCACATGCAAGACAAACTACCTACCTGCTGTACTATCCTGCTTGCCCCCAAATGTTTGGATTTTAAATTTTGAAGTATGGTAGTGTTTTGTGGTTAGAAATATGATATAAGTGAATATTTTGGGGGAGGAGAAAGCTTTCAAGAGTTGTTAAGGGTCACTCATAGTGGCTCTTGGTCACTGAGATTGTCAGATCAATGTCAAGACCTGAGGATTTGGTGCTTCTCAGGTCTTGCAGCACCAGAACCACCAGGGCCACCCTAAAGGGTGCTTCGGGGGCCATCAGGACCACACCTAGTGATGTTGAGGGGCCATGCTTGGCCAGGGATCAAGCCTTGGCATATGCTTTAACTTATATATTATCTCTTCAGTCAATTCACTTAATTCTTGCCTGTATTAATTCGCCTATGGTAACATTGGTTTTATCACATATTTTCTGCTTTTTAAGGACCAGTTCCCAAGAATCTATCCATGATGTTAAACGAGGACTTTCTGTATAACAACCATTAAACCAAGAAAGAGAGAACTTATAGGTGCAAAGATACATTTTATTTATTCATCCCCGCCCAACATTAGCATAATTATAGCCAAACAGGAGGTGGGTGATGAGTTGGGGAGAGGGGCTGGAGGAACGAAATAAGGGTAACTCTTATGAGAAAAAGGCCCGAGGCTAGAAGAAGGGAGGCTGGGATGAGATGAAGGGTGAGATGGTGCCTGGTAGGCCTCTTGCTCTAACATTCTCCCCTATTGAAGCTCTTGGTAATAGGGGAGGACAGGGTATTATGGGTGACCTCGCAGGTGTAAACATTATGTGTCTTGTACTCTGAGGTGGGCATCGTCAGGACGCTGCTGAGGCTGTAGGTGTTGTCCTTGCTGTCCTGCTCTGTAACACTCTCCTGGATGCCAGAATTTCTGATGGAATTATCCACTCTCCAAGTGACTTTGTAGTCTCTGGGGTAGAAGTTATTCAGCATGCACACGATAGAGGCGGTGTTAGTGAGTAACTGCTCCTCAGATGGTTGGAATATGAACACAGATGGCTTAGCGTCATCCCCTAAGAAGGAAGGACAGAAAATGGAGTGTAGGTAACAAGGAAGTTCTCCACTGGGTGCTTTGTTTGTAAGCAATCCCCAAACTTCAACACAGAAACAGAGAGAGGCAGGAAGGAGTGCCCCCCAAATGTATTCATCATCTTGATTTGGAGTTTCTTCCTGCCCCTCAACAAAGTTGCTTCATTTGTATGTTTTACAGCCATTATAAAACCTTTGTGGATTTTCTGATCTGATCTTCTAGCCTCCTGTAGTCCACTGAAACAAGCCCTTCACTTGACCCTACAGAGGTTAGAAGTGAAGGAAAATCTTGGTCTCTCTGCACAGATCATTGTCCTGGAGTCTGTCATAGGACCATGTGGGACTCTCAGGCTCCCATTCTGGGACTCTCCTTGGCTGTGTTGGGGATAAAACATCCTGCAGAGTAGGACCTCAACCCCGTGTCTGTGTCATTGTTCTCTCTGATCAGACTCACAACCCTGCCACACATCTCAAGACCTCAAAGTGAGGCCCAGACCCTGGCCTGATGACTCTCACCATCTGGGGCAATGTCAGCCAGCTCAGGAGGGGTCAGTTGCAGTTTCTGCCACCTGCCAAGGAGGAACTGGCTAACTTCATGCATCACCATGAGTGACTGCCAGATGGCCTCTGGAAACCCCCCTCTGTGGACATTCAAGCCCTTGGTGGGAACGTTAGAGTTAAAATTACAAACGGATTTTAAAAAATTACAAACATGAAATTCTTTACTGGAAGAAGTCAGAAGATATACAAGCAGATTTTTATAAACCTAACCTCTATGTTAACCAAGAAGTTCAAGATGTGATAGTGAACATTTAATGTTTTTATATTTTCTTGTAGCTTTTATGATTCCCTCCCCCCCGAGTTTAGACTTGGCAGTAGAACAACATAATTCTAGAAAAAAGAAGGGGAAGGAGGAAATATTTTATGAAGCTATTCCTATCTGGATGAATCTGTGATAAGTTTTAAATTTGCCATATGCATTACATCAGTAAGCAATTAGCATACTGAAAATGGAATTCTTATAAAACATCATATTAGCTTTTAATTGAGTTTAATAGATTAAAATAGTTCTTAAAAAACACTTTAAATATTTTAAATACAGTTCTAAAATTTTTGTGTCCTTAGAAGTCCAAAATAATCCTTTTGACCCCCCAAATAATCTTATAGCAATACAACATAGCAACAAATAACTATCATTATAGAGGGTTAGTCTCCGATTAAATTACTTCTCACAGATTAAAGTTATTAGGAAAAAAATTGGGGAGGGGCACATCCAGGCATGCGCAGGCATCCTGTCCTGCACTTCTGGCGATGCTCGGGGAACCATATGGGATGTTGGGGATCAAACCTGGGTTGGCTTCATGCAAAGCAAGAGCCCTGCCCATTGTACTATTTCTCTGGCCCCTAGAAAATATATTTTATATATGTTTCTATTAATAGTGCTTATTATTAGAAATTTTGTACAACTGAAATATGATACAACCAAGTCATTATACTTCTGAAAATGAAAAACATTTCAAAATTGTATCTTATTAATTATCAGGTAATATACTCCTATGATATTCATTATGAACTCAGTAAAAGAAAATTGTGCAAAACCTGAGTGGCCAGATTAGGTAGCCTTAAATCAGATTTTTGCTGGTATGGTTTTATCCCAAAAGAGTAATGTATTTCTCTCTTTTGGACTTAGCTTTAATTGTTTAAAAACATTTGAGAAGCTATTGAAATACTTGCTTGTCACAGGAATAATCAGTTTACATAGTCCTCTATCAGTAAACTTCACTGAGAAAATTTAATGGCTGAATATTGTTTCTTAAATCTCTAGTGAATGAGCTTCACCTTACTTTTCACATGTCTAGTGCTCACCACCTGTTAGCGCCATCACTTGTATCACTGTGCTAGGAAAGATTCGAAGTCCAGTCAATCACTAATGCATGTTGCTGGCCCTTAGTGACCAGGCAAACGCCCTAAAGACAGCCACGGGGCCCACAGAGTCAATTAGCTGTGCCACAACATCCTTGGTGATCTAAAACATGGCTGCGTAATAACGGAAGGAAATAGAATATACTAAAATATTTCTTGATTTTTTTTACAAGTCTGTGGGCATTAAAAATACTTAATTATTTTCTTTCCCTTTTAAAGACAATTTCCTTAAAACTGGGATTTGGGAAATAATGACCTTTCCTCCATTATATGCAAGATCATTACTGGTTTGGCCAAGTATGTAAACTGAATCAAAAAACTGAAAATGCCTGTTAAGATATAGACTCGAGTATTTTAAAGACTGATTATCACTCATTTTAGACTTTAAAATGAATAAAAGATAACTGACTACTAAGTAAAATGTCTCTTTCATATGGCTAATGGGTTCATTTTACAAAGTTCTTTTTGTTCTTTTGTTTGGACCACACCTGGTGGTGCCCAGGGCTTACTCCTGACTCTGCACTCAGAGATCACTCCTGGCAGGGCTCATGGAGGTATATGGGGTGATAGGAATCAAGCCCAGACCAGCTGCACGCAAGACAAACTCCCTACCCACTCTACTATCTCTTCGGCCCCCTACTTTACTAATTTCTGATTTTCTTTTTTTTCTTTTTGGGTCACACCCGGCAATGCACAGGGGTTACTCCTGGCTCTGCACTCAGGAATTACTCCTGGCGGTGCTCAGGAGACCATATGGGATGCTGGGAATAGAACCCAGTTCGGCGTGTGCAAGGCAAACTCCCTACCCACTGTACTATTGCTCCAGCCCCTACTTTACTAATTTCTGAAAGACTTTTTAGTGCATGTTACTGACTTTTATTATCTTAAAATTGAATGAAAAAAGAAAACTGACCAAGAAATACAGTTTTCTCCTTTTCTTGTGCCATACAAAATGAGCAAAAATCAATATGCAACGAAGTTGAAAAATTAATTCACTTTTGTTCTTTGGATCTACAAAGGTATGTTCAATGACACTCATTTTGCTTAACTGACACTCATTTTTTCCCCTTAGACTCATTCTGTTTAGCTTGAGCTTTTTTTGTAAAATGCGATTTTGGTCCTGAGGTAGACCAGAAAGCACTCATTCACCAGAAGACAACAAAGAATTAAAAAGTGCATTTAATCTCCACACATGTCCCTTTTTTTAAGGTGATTTCTAGTATTAGCTTAGCTTCTCCTCCCTTGACTAAAACCTCTTTTTCTGGCAACCTCTTTCCACTGATGACAAAAAAATTCTGACAATTGAATGCCATGCCAATTACTTAGTTCTTTGCTCTCTCTTCCTTGAGACAAGTCTATTTTCAGTCCCTAACTCATCTGATTTTTTTTCAAGAATCCTATTCTTTCAAAATTTTCCTCAACTCATCTCTGCAACATAAAACTCTCTTAACTTCACAATTCTAAAAGGAAAGAATTAAAAAAAGCACACTTACTTTTGATGTCCAGCTTGGTCCCCTGGCCGAAAGTCAGCCACAGTGAGACTTTTCATACTCCTTCCTCAACAAATACTTCCTTCAGAAGTCAGTCATAAAAAAAAGGCTAATTCTGAGGGAAAAATATCTATCCACTCCCTATTCTTAAATCCTACCCTTAAAATATAAGCACAATAATTTATTTTCTTAGCTTAAAAGTTAGCTGTTTGGGGCTGGAGAGATAGCACAGCCGGTAGGGCATTTGCCTTGCATGCAGACGACCCGGGTTTGATTCCCAGCATCCCATATGGTCCCCTGAGCACAGCCAGGAGTAACTCTTGAGTGCAGAGACAGGAGTAATCCCTGTGCATTGCCAGGTGTGACCCCCCGCCCCCCAAAAAAGTTGGCTGTTTTGTGGATTCTTACTAATTATTTTTTGGTCATCAGAAATGGCCCACTTAACCAAGATGTCACAAACTTGCATAAATGACACGACAGAACAAAAGACAGAAATAATGGAGCCAAAAATGTACTTACGTTTGTTCTCCACTTTGGTTCCTTGGCCGAAAGTGAACCATAATGATGCCTCTTAGCCTCCATATTTATAAAAAACCTGCCCTGAAATTCTGACCAGTTCCCTGCCCCAATTAAGTCATTTTGATTTAGAAATCCTAAAAATTATCTATTATCTTACCTCCTGAAAAGCAAATGACTCTCTCTCTCTACCTACTAACCGGAAAATTTCTCTTATCCCTAACATTTAGCTAATGAAAATACACAAAAAGGAACAAAAAGCAAAGCAATTAGAAATAGTGAGGAATCAGTTAAAAGGAATACTTACGTTTGATATCCAGCTTGGTCCCCGCTCCGAAAGTGTATACACAGTGGTTCTATTTCATTTCCCCTCTCTACAAGAACTGAGTTTCCCTTTCTGGCAATTTTGAGCAAAGCTCTGTTCAGAACGTATGATTTTACTCCCCAACAAATTTCAGAAACCGTCATAGTAGTTATTCTCACTACTCTTGTTCTTCACAGAAAATGCCTAATTCCTAAGACTTTCTATTTTCCCCAGAAAATGTCAGAATTTGGTTTTAGAGTAAGCTTATAAGACACTTAAGAGACAAAGAGACCATAGGGTATAGATAACTGAGAAAGGAGGGTTTGAATTTCACTCACGTTTGATTTCCAGCTTGGTCCCGGCACCGAACGTCCACCACAGTGATACTTTCTCATTGACTTGTCAGACATAAACCTCTAAAAGGAACTGGGTCCTGATTCAGCTGCTGATGTTTCACCCCTGTTTCAGTAAGTCTAGAAGGCCTGGAGACTTCCTTCACAAAATATTTATATAGGTGAGATCTAAATTCCTATGAAATTTATATCTTCACATATAGAAGAGTATATATATATATATACGTATTTATCTCATACATATGACATTATACATATATATCAGTCTGTGGTGAGATTTTTCTTTAGTGACCTACTGTTTGTTTTAAAAAATGAATGTGAATTACAAAAAAGACAAATTGAAAAAAACCCTGTTTTTTATACTTTCTAAGTGAGGAAACTTAAGCAGAAGATAAGCCTCTTTGAATATAACTATTAGACTTTAGATTTTTCCAGTGAATATTAATTGAAGAATTTCTATTAGAATCTCTCCTTTCCATGATGTTGTTTCAAAAAAGGTAAACAAAATGTATATCACATCAAGACTTATACTTACTTAGAAGTGTATTTTGAAATAAAGCAGTAGCATCAAAGACCAACAACCAAAGACCAATACAGAAATAAAGTTGTGAAAAAAACAAATATCAATAGAAAGTATTGAAAGTATCAATAGACTTACTTTGGTTGATCATTCAATAGTAGGAAAGAGGTAGAACCCAACATATCTCACTGAAATGAGGTGAACCAGAAGGACTTTGGAGCTGCCAGGGAATTGTGGTGTATGAGATGTTTTCATAGAAGCCTGAAGACTTTGGTTTTGAGTTTAGCTTCATTTACTGCAGTTTCCTTCTCTCTTAACATTCTATTCCTACCTCAGCTCCCACCATCCTTAGAGTTCCCAAATTCTTTTGCACAACATTTCCCTTCAATTGAAAACACCTTTGCCACCGGTGTTAACTTGTGAGGAACCAACTATCTTTCAAGTCAGCTCATGAGAGACCCTCTCTCACCTGATTCCCAAACCAATGGCATAACTTTGCAGACTACAGTGGTAGGTCCTTGGGCCTAGATCACTTAATTGCTCATAACTACTTGTCAGATTCTTTCTACCCTAGAGGGTTGCAAGCTGTTTGATATTTTATTTATCTTATATTTGGAGGACCCTATCAGGATTCTTCACTGGAAAAAAACTTAATAAACATTTGCAAAATCAATTTTTAAAAATTCCAATATTAAACAATTAAAATCAATAATAGTTCAGCACCAATAAATTATAACAGAGACCAACACAGAGCACCACTATAGTATATTTTACAAAAAAAGTGATTGCAATTCTGAGGATTGAGTAGGTTTGCTTGATTTTGTGACACAGAACTTTGCTAGTGATTAGAACATGAGATGTTCAGAGAGAAGTATCAAAATGGAAATAGAGACAAGAGAGAAAATGGCAGGCTGGAATTAAATGTGCAAAGTAGATGATCAAGGGCATAGTTTGCATGAGTCCTTAAGAGGTGGGATGGGGGTGGGGGGGTGGGAGGGATACTGGGACTGGTGGTGGTGAATGGGCTCTGGTGGAGGGATGGGTACTCGATCATTGTATAACTGAAACCCAAGCACAAAAATTTGTAAGTCTATAACTGTACCTCATGGTGTTTCACTAATAAAAATTTAAGAAAAAAAAGGGCTATCTCACCAGGAAAAAATAAAGTCATAAAATTTGCTTATAAATGGGTGGATTTGCAAAGTATCATGCTGAGTGCAATGAATCAGAAGGAGAGGGACATACATATAATATATGCACTCGTTTCTGGTATATAAATAAACATAGTATAGGACTAATATCCAAGATCATAAGAAACAGGGGCCAGGAGGACTGTTGGGCAGTTAGGATATAGAATTAACCACTATGAAAATAATTGTAGGAAAGGGCATTTATGATAGAGAAGGGATCTCTATGAAAAAAATAGTTGGAAATGATCACTTTTGACAAGAACTGAATGTTGAAAGCAGGTAAAGAGATATACATGATAACCTTTAAGTGTCTGTATTGCAAATCTTAATGTCCAAAAGGAAGGAGAGTGAGAGAGAACAAGAGCAAGAGGGCGAAAGAGAGAGACAGAGAGAGAGAGAGAAAAGGAAAGAGCCTGCCATAGAGGGAGTAGGTACTAAGGGTTGGGGGGAGGAAAACTGGGGATAATGGTGGTGGGAATTATAAAGGATGGGTATTGGAACATCATAGGACTGAAACTGAATAATCAGCAACTTTGTCACTATGTTTCTCGAGTGATGTTATTGTTAAAAATTGAAACAAATATCCTACTTTAAGATGCTGTCAAATATTTCTATAAATAAAATACAATAAGACAAAAAAGAGCTATCAAACAAAAAAAAACAACAAAAAAAATAAAACCATTAGTAGGTAATTAAAAAAAAGAGGTAGAAATTGATTTTCTCTGTGTAGACAGGAGAAATACAAATCATAACAGCTGACATTAACCGAGTACTTATGTTGTCAATGGAGTACCCATCTGATTAACCCCGCAGACCTACTATCTGAAAGCTAATACTATTTCATATCTTGCAGGCGAGAAATCTTGAATCAGAGAAGCAAACTAACTTGTTCATAACAGTGAGTGGAGAACAAGTGCATGCCTCCAAATCTTCTAGTAAACTAGTAAGCATGCCTACAAATCATCGAGTAATCTAGCACAAACCACCTAGTAATCTAGTAAGCATGACTACAAATCATCTAGTAAAAATAAAGTATCAAATTTCTGCTCTTCAAGTCTAACATTTTAAGAAACAGTAATTTTGCTTTTCACCGGACCTAATTAGAGGTCTGGAGTCTTGTACCTTACATATAGTGATCCACTCAGTAGTCAGGGTCACAAATGGCTTTACAAGATTTAAGGTACGTAACTGGAGACTTCTTACCTGGCGCCAGAATGTTTGTGTCTATAATCCGCTTTGAAGTCTGTTATTCAGTGTATCTTTTCAGTTCATTAACCACAGCCGATTCCAAGGTTTTGGATGTATTACTTTGGCTTGAAGTTTCTTTACAACCATAATGTCGGTCATTTTCACTTCTGCTGCTATTGCATCCAATGAAGAAAAATTTCTGGAGCCCAGATTCAGTAGTGTTTGGAATCCAATCAATGACCAATCTTCCAGCAAGAATGTCACAAAGGGAATCTCCAGGGCCAAGGTTGACCTCATTAGCCAAGTAGGAGAGAGATGGAGGAGGTAGGTCACTTGAGGATTTGCTGCTTCTCTGCTCCTTTGGGGTGGTGTCTGTTTCCACCCATCTCTGAAGAAGATGTGCTGGGAACACAAAGTCCTTTACCCAATCATATGTAAATGCATGTGTCATAAAGAAGACTCCAGATTATGATCCAGTTATAGAAAACCAGACATTGAACTTATATCCAAGAGAGCCTGAAGACGCAGATATTTTTACTTCCCTGAGTGAAAGAGAAAATAGCAGCAGCTGTGTCAGCACTAAGTAGCCCTGCTGGAGATCAACCCCTGAAATTTACATACTGCTTTTGTGGTTCTTAGCTGGTGTTCACAAGCTTTCTAGCTCTGCCCTGGAGTTTTCTGCCCTCCCCAGTCTGCTTACTGGACATCCAGCCCTATGACCTCCCTCATGCTACTAAGGAGAATCTCATCATATGACTGGGGGTTGTCAATAGAATATTTGTGGTTTTTTTTCTTTTTGGGTCACACCTGCCATGCACAGGAGTTACTCCTGGTTCATGCACTCAGGAATTACTCCTGGCGGTGCTCAGGAGACCATATGAGATGCTGGGAATCGAACCTAGGTCCTCTGCGTGCAAGGCAAACGCCCTACCCGCTGTGCTATTGCTCCCGCCCCTGTCAATAGAATA